CACAGCAACATCATCACAGCAACATCTTTACAGAACATCTTCACAGCAAACATCATCACAGCAACACATCTACAGCAACATCATCACAGCAACATCATTCACAGCAACATCTTACAGCAACATCATCACAGCAACATCATCACACAACATCACAGCAACATCTCACAGCAACATCATCACAGCAACATCTACAGCAACATCATCACAGCAACTTTCAACATCAGCAACATCATCACAGCAACATCTCACAGCAACATTTCAACCATCACAGCAACATCTTATAGCAACATCTTACAGCAACATCATCACAGCAACATCTACAGCAATCTACAGCAACATCTTCACAGCAAATCATAGAAACTCACACAGCAACATCATCACAGCAACATCTATACACATAGCAACATCACATCACAGCAACATCTCACAGCAACTCATCACAGCAACATCACAGCAACATCTCAGAATCATCAGCAACATCACATCTTACAGAACATCATCACAGCAACATCATCACAGCAACATCTTCACAGCAACATCATCACAGCAACATCATCTCACAGCAACATCTTCAGCAACTATCACAGCACTCATCACAGCAACATCTACAGCAACATCATCACAGCAACATTCACACAGCAACATCATCACAGCAACATCACACAATCTACAGCACATCAACATCATCACAGCAACATCTTACAGCAAACAACATCATCACAGCAACATCTTCGACATCACAGCAACATCATCACAGCAACATCTTCACAGCAACATCTTTACAGCAACATCATCACAGCAACATCATCACAGCAACATCTTCACAGCAACATCATCACAGCAACAATCTTCACAGCAACATCTTCACAGCAACATCACAACTCTACAGCAACATCATCACAGCAACATCATCACAGCAACATCATCACAGCAACATCACAGAAACATCTACAGCAACATCTTCACAGCAACATCATCACAGCACATCATCCAATCTACAGCAACATCACAGCAATCATCAGCACACAGCAACATCTTCAGCACAAACTATCACAGCAACATCTTCACAGCAACATCATCACAGCAACATCATCACAGCAACATCATCACAGCAACATCTAAAACACATCACAGCAACATCTTTACAGCAACACATCAGAACATCCACAGCAACATCATCACAGCACATCAATCAGCACATCTCACAGCAACATCATCAACAGCAACATCATCACAGCACATCTTCACAGCAACATCACAGATCTTCACATCGCAACATCTCACAGCAACATCATCACAGCAACTCTCAATCTTCACAGCAACATTAAAGCAACATCACACAGCAACATCTTACAGCAACATCACAGCAACAAAAATCTCACAGCAACATATCACAGCAACATTCTACAAATCTACAGACATCACAGACATCTCACAGCAACATCATCACAGCAACATCTTTCAGCAACATCTTCACAGCAACATCATCACAGCAACATCATCACAGCAAATCACAAACATCTTACAGCAACATCATCACAGCACATCTCACACATCATCACAGCAACATCCAATCTCACAGCAACATCTTCACAGCAAACATCTTACGCAACTAAGACTCACAGCAACATCATCACAGCAACATTCTACAGCAACATCTACAGCAACATTACAGCAACATCTCACAGCAACATCATCACAGCAACATCTCAACACATCTACAGCAACAAATCTTCACAGCAACATCATCACAGCAACTCATCACAGCAACTTTTTACAGCAACACTCACAGCAAATCATCACAGCAACATCTTCACAGCAACATCTCACAGCAACATCATCACAGCAACATCATCACAGCAACATCTTTACAGCAACATCTTCACAGCAACATCATCACAGCAACATCTTCACAGCAACATCATCACAGCAACATCTTCACAGCAACATCATCACAGCAACATCATCACAGCAACATCTTACAAACACTCACAGCAACATCATCACAGCAACATCTCACAGCAACTCATCACAGCAACATCATCACAGCAACATATCACAGCAACATCTCACAGCAACATCTTCACAGCAACATCATCACAGCAAACTCTAAGACATCACAGCAACATCTCACAGCAACATCATCACAGCAACATCATCACAGCAACATCTTCACAGCAACATCATCACAGCAACATCATCACAGCAACATCATCACAGCAACATCTTACAGCAACATTCACAGCAACATCATCACACAACATGCATACAGCACACTCAGTTCACAGCAACATCATCACAGCAACATCATCACAGCAACACTCTTCACAGCAACATCTTCACAGCAACTATCATCACAGCAACATCATCACAGCAATACCATCTTCACAGCAACATCTTCACAGCAACATCATCAAGCAACATCATCACAGCAACATCATCACAGCAATACATCTCTTCACAGCAACATCATCACAGCAACATCATCACAGAAATATAAGCAATCTTCACAGCAACATCTCACAGCAACATCACACACTAAATCATCACAGCAACATCATCACAGCAACATCTTCACAGCAACATCATTCACAGCAAACATCTTCACAGCAACATCACAGCAACATCATACAGCAACATCATTCACAGCAACATCTTCACAGCAACATCATCACAGCAACATCTCAGAAATCTCACAGCAACATCTTCACAGCAACATCATCACAGCAAACATCACAGCACATCAATCACAGCAACATCTTACAGCAACATCATCACAGCAACATCATCACAGCATACAACATCATACAGCAACATCATCACAGCAACATTAAGCAACATCTTCACAGCAACATCATCACAGCAACATCTTTCACAGCAACATCATCACAGCAACATCATCACAGCAACATCTTAAGCAACATCATACAGCAACATCATCACAGCAACATCCATCACAGCAAACATCATCACAGCAACATCTTCACAGCAACATCATCACAGCAACATCATCACAGCAACATCATCACAGCAACATCATCACAGCAACATCTTCACAGCAACATCATCACAGCAACATCTTCACAGCAACATCATCACAGCAACATCATCACAGCAACATCATCACAGCAACATCATCACAGCAACATCATCACAGCAACATCATCACAGCAACATCATCACAGCAACATCTCACAGCAACATTATGCACACACATCACAGCAACATCAACGTCTATTCAATTGTTCCATAATGCTCCATTTTATGCAGAGTATGTAACTTTTGTAATATAAATGTTAACCAAACCATACCCCCGGCCGGGATTGAACCCGCGGTCATAGAGTCTCAAAACTCCAGCCCGTCGCGTTAGCCACTAGACCAGCTAGCCACAATAAGATTCATCCAACTAGGTATATTTCTACACCATAGGAAGGTTAGCACAGGCACCACTGTGACCACGGGCTGGAGTTTTGAGACTCTATGAGCGCGGGTTCAATCCCGGCCGCGGGTATGGTTTGTTTGCAATCGTGTCATTACGATTTCTTGAGTTATAAATGTTAGGTTAGATTTTGTAGCATTGTTAGGTTTATTTGCGTACCTTAGTTATACTTTAAATTTGATGACCTTCTTTAAAGGAAGGGGGATAACTTTCAGTGGAAGTACCTTGATGACGAAGGTCTCTTGATCCAAGGAATTGGACCTACCCTTCACATTTTATCAAATCTGATTGCCTCCCATTTCTCGTCAAAACCCCTTATGGGTTTATCTACCCCATAAATATGATAATAACTGAGGGAACATAAGAACAAACGAAAGAAGGAACACTGCGGCAGGCCTGTTGGCCCATGCTAGGCAGGTACAGTTCTCCTATCGGCTTAAGCCAACGCCCTGAACTAGTCAGGTCAGGTCACATTCACTTAAGGAAAGAGCACGGTGTCTGGCTTTGTAGCACAAGCTAGTCAGGTCCAATTCACACCCACCCACACCCACTCATGTATTTATCTAACCTATTTTTAAAACTTCACAACGTCTTAGCTTCTATGACGGTACTGGGCTGTATAGCCCTTGTGGCTTAGCGCTTCTTTTTGATTATAATAATATGACGGTACTTGGGAGGGGAAGTGTGGCATGCAAAGAGTACGTAACCTTTATTCGGCGCATGTACACACCCTCATTTACAGGCTATCTCCCCCAACCAGCGAACCAGGGGACTAAGGGTTGGCGATGGGGCCCCGTCGTTCAACCAGTACCCAGGTTCCAGCCAATGAGAAGATGGTTTTGGCAATCGCAGAGGTTATGTGGGCATCACTCACCTGTCTGCCCTTGTCATTCCCATTCTAGAGTTGGTTGAAGCACGGTCTGCTCTCTAGTGGCTTCTATTCTGCCTTGCTTACCGTGGAGTGCACTAATACCTATTGTTGCACATAGTGTATATAGTGTACATACTTCTGTTCTAAATTGGTGAAGGATAATATAAGTCAAAAGTTTTCTGCTGTGTTTATTTTGCTCCCTTTACACCCAGGATAACAGTCCTTTGGGACTCCTGGGTTGTAATAGGAAGTAAGATATAGCTCTTGGGCCTGCCTCTTGAAAGCAATAAGAAATCAGAATATACATCAAAGTAGTAAATGAAAGATGGTTTGATTTTTTTTTTTAATTTTTCGCACTAGTTAATCCGTAAGTTCCACATAAAATATTCTCGTAGTCACTATGTTCCTGGCCGCGACAGCTCATAATTATACAAGTGTTTGTTAGGATCACAACGTGTAGACTTCACGTACATCATCAAGGCTACAATTCCTCATAACACCAACACTAGGATACAGTGTTAAGAATTTAATGTTTGTATTTGGTATAGTAATATACTGTAAATGATGATGTAAGATAGTTTGAGCCATTGTTAGTTTATACTGGTAAGGGAATTCAACCATTCAAGCAGGGATAAACCACTGCTAAGTCATATGTAGATGAAATATTAATTAAATCAATGTTCTTCACAGGTTCCCGAGACATCAGACAATAGAACCATCACCTACACAGGGCGACCAGTCAATAATCTATTAGACGACGCTGTGAGTATTATAGAGAAAACAATTTACAACTTAGAGAAAATTGCTAATGCTTGAGCCTATTAGGCGGTTCCTACGAGAATTAAAGAACACATTTAGGGAAGAATTAACCTCTTGTTAGGAACGTGGCATCGTCATTATTCTAGTTAGGTTTGTTAAATTTAGAGGATCATTAAGATTGCAATTCTCTTGTCGACGAACATCATGAACATTTCAATGCCTAGAGTAGTAGCATTTAGAGAAAACTCTCATTATATATAAATTAAGAGATGTAAACTTGTATGTACTATATATATAACCTGTGTGCTAGTAAGAGGAGTATTATGTTTGGTTAATTTTAAAGCCTATTTACTACATGAGGATCATTAAGACTACACGTAACTTACACAGTAGCAGTCTTAAGAATATTTAAATTCGTAAAACAAAGAATAAAATAAACTTTCAGCATATACACACTAACAGACTATATGTCACGGTATAATGGTTGTCTGGAAACAAGGCAAGTGTTTCCTGACGCGGGTCTTAGCCATATGATGACCCACAACTGGAGCTTTTGGCCATCTGACCGAGAACTTCCGCTGGCTTTCCGGCCCACCTCCTTAAAAATCAAGGTTATGATTATAACTATTATAATAAATCATATATAATGTTTCTTATATATGTCACGGTGTATATATATATATAGTATTTTTATTTATGCTTATTCACTCTATTGAAAGAGCAGTTATTTGTGGTAATTAAGAAATCCTATAATTATGGTAATAAGAGAAATGAGATTATTGTTGTCTATTACCCATTTAAGATTTTTTCTATTAAATTCGGTTTATGATTTTTTTATATCAAATCAGCTTAAACATTTAATACAATTAATAAGTACTTGGAGGTGGTATGTAACTGCGTTTCTCGAGAGGTTCCTTGATATTGGTAAGGGGGCTCTTGATCAGAGGAATCGAACACGTCCTCCCCTTCCTTAGAACTTGATTACCTCCCATTACCCAGGAACTGTATGACCCCTACTAGTTTAGCGCTTCTTAAATATAATAATCGTGAGGGTTCATACACAGATGAAGAACATGCACGTCAGCTTGGCCAACCAGCTGAGTCGGATCTCCGATCAACTAGCCGGACTAAGAATCTATTACTCCACCAGCCTCCACATGAACACCCAGCAGGTAGGTCTTAACTATATATCTTCATTGCACTGCTCTCTGCGACCGTGATCTTCAGAAACTTTTTGTTCACTACCTCTACATCTCTCAAATTTTCACAGCTCTATAGCATTAGGCTTGTCAAAGCACATGGTTATAGTGACAAATACATTTATATATATATAAAAATTAAATTTTTTACCTGATAATCGTCACTCACTAATCACCTATGAAGTGAAACAGTTCAGTAGGTAATTCTGCTTCATAAGCTACGGTAAAAACATTCACGAAGCCTCGTAGCACAGAATGTTCAACTTACCATTGTATCACCATGATTTTTTATTAGTCATTCCATCGGCACGTTACTAATATTGTCTACAGCTGACTGACTGCACAGCTCACTTTATTCACTGTATAATGGACATTTATTGCTCGCTACTTCACTTCTTTACCACTACATGTTTAACTAATTTAATGCTAGTTACTGTTTTTCACTGTTACACTCTCTCCTTGATCTTAGGATAATCAGCAAGTAACCATCCTGTCAGTTAAATACGTCCGTGAAAAACTGCAGTAGCAATCCATAACCCATCGCTTAATAGTGAATCACGTTTGTAGAAACCCTTTCCTCTCTAAACACACTACAGCACAATTCATCTTTGATGTTTACTCTGAACGAGTATCTGCTTGTACTGTGTACAGTATGCTTCAGTAATAACCCACATGGAGAGAGAAACAAAAAAGATTAATTGATCCATATTGTTCAACCCCCTGCTGGAATTCTCTTCAGCATCTGCTGAAGATATATCATTTATGTTAAGCGCTAAACCCATGTGGGTCATTCAGCGCAAGACGTGGTGGGGGCTTGATCCTCCGTCTGCTGAGCGCGAGACATCTGCTGAAGAGGATCCCATCAGGGGGTTGAAATATACAGATCAATTGATCTCCTAGTTTGTCTCCATGTGGGTTATTATTGAGCACTGACAAGTGTTTATTACACTTATTCGTTGTACAGTATATTTAACCTTGCTTTTTTTGAGATAGTTGGCGTCGGAAGTTGCGGCGCTGAAGTCCGGGATGCGACAGGCAGTGCAGGAGCTGGCTAAGTCGACTCACACCTTGGCGAAGCTGCGGCGTTCCTCTCTGGGTTACCTGGACGCTGCAGTTACCACCGTCACCTCAGCCGCAGTCGCCTCAGCCAAAGCTACTGCTAACCAGCTCACCACAGAACTCCATGAATTGGCCGACCGTTTTCAGTACAGATTAACCAAGGTGAACTGAACAAATGTTGCAGGATTAAAACAAACGTTAATAAAACTTTTAGGTTATGATTGTTTATAACGAATGTTAGCATGAAGTAATGAAATTTACTTACCTTTAAATGTTCATACTATAAAGATAGTATCTTCCTGGATGGATGCTTTCAATCGGCCTATAATTTTTAGTATTGTTTTATTACTCCATAATTATATATGACAATAAAAAATGGGGTTATGTTAAAGCAATTAGTTATTGTCGAGTGATAACTAGTTACCCCAGCTTTTCCATCCAGTACTAAAATATGTGTGCATATTACAGTTGGAAGCTGCAGTAAGGGAGGCTGGGACCCAATGTCCTCCACAGTACACCAAGGTGGGCGGTACTGTCTCCTACTATTGCTTAATACCAACACCACCTGGCATGAATCCAGAGAGAAGTGTAGAGACCTCGGCGGCGATTTAGCTACAATACCCGATGATGCCACTCTCCATCATCTTCACTACTTGTTCAACACCACCGCTGCTGTTAACTCCACACTCTCACTCAACTATTGGGTAGGAGGGACACTAGTGGGGGATTCTTGGGCGTGGGTGACGGGCACGCCCGTAGTGGTGAGGGTGGGTGATGCTTCCATGATGGAGGAGGAGGAGGAGGATGATGAAAAAGAAACTCAGCTGTGTTTGATGTCATCTGCCTTGAATCTGGTCCCCTCACCCTGTCACACTCCCCAGGCTGCACTTTGTCAACATAACTACCCCAGCCATAACTCCTACATATTTAATGACTCCAGCAACAATATACTCAACGACTTTAGCGTGCATCCTGCTAATGATGGTCTTCCAGCTTAAAAAATCAATATCGCATAGCTATTTGTATTTGTTAGGTAGATTACTCCTTTTCTGTAGTGAAGAGACTTGTAAAAATTAGGCTACTTTATAATCACATACTAATACTATAATTATATATATATAATATATATATAATATATATATATATATATATATATATATATATATATATATTATATATATATATATATATATATATAATATTAATATAGCCGTTTTCTTCCAAGACAGGGTTACCCAAAAAAGAAGAAACAATTTCATCGTCATTTACTTCATCACTGTCTTGCCAGAGGCGGCCGATACTACAGTTCAATAACTGCAACATATCTTCACCCTTGCATTAGCAAGGGTTCACCCTAACAGTAAATAGGTACATGTGTATGTGAGTGATATCATATAGGATTTCTATACCATAGATAGATATGCAGTAAGATAAAAGCTCTTAACCAGTAAATTCAAAAGGGCAAAATAAAAAGTAAAACCAGTTGTGCAAGTATTCAGTATATTTAAGAGATTACCGTCAAAAGGTTTATACAGAGATATAGTGCGGGTGAAAAAATATAATGGAAAATTCTCAAATATTTTAAAAACCGACAAAAATAACTTGTCATAAATACCTTCAATGCTAAACGTTACAGCCATGTACCTTGAACGCTAGCGCACTCAGCGCTAGCGTGTTTCCATAAGACACCTGCTGTCCCTGTTCACCAATCAGTATAAAATGGGTACCTGGGTGTTAGTAGACTGGTGTGGGTCGCATCATGGGACAACTGACCTAATTTGCCCGAAATGCTCAGCATAACAAGCAGCTTTCTATATAGTAGTATGTCATTAATGTCAGCTAGGCCTGTATACCTTGTACATGTATTTGTAGAAATAAAAATATTATTAATTATTATAAGCGGTAGTCGAGGTTCACTGGATAACGAGGCACTAACAAAAAATAGCACAGTAGTATATAATGACTGAGAAATTTTCAAGTTAACGTGTGAACTTTTCAAGCTAGAGTCAATGGTCACCTGAGTTCACAGATCAGTCAGTCCTTAACTTCAGATCTGGAGGGACGCCTGGCTTCGAATGTAGGGTTTCTGGGAGTGATTAGCAGATGAAGGATCTAGTCTTCAACACTGAGCGACCCACACGAGTTTAGCGCTTCATATAATTATAATAATCAACTATTAGAGTTGTCTTCATTCCCATTGCTGAGAAAACTTGGGATGGGTGGAAGATTGAGAGGAAGAGCTTTTTGTAGGTGTGAGTCTCCGACTATTCTGCTGATGGGGTCAGTCCTGGTGTAGCGCATGACGGTGTTAAACATCTGCGTCAAGAACCATCCCACTTTGGTGCTAGCGAACCTACAACATACACAATATATATATTAACACTTGACACCCAACACTATAAAACTTCTTTAGTATTATAACTGCTTAGTATAGTAGGTTTAAATTAGTATATATTATATTTATGGGGTCCAGGTGATTTTCCAGGAAGGTCACACAATCCCTAGGGGATGGGAAAAAATTATAATTGACCCAAAGAAAGCTAGAGTAGATCCAGTTCCCTGGATGAGGGGTTCGTCTACATAAATATTAACATTAAGAATAATTTAATCCTTAAAATTAAAACACATTCAGAGATATATACATCTCAGTGAATGTACCCAATGCTGCTGTAACGTGTAGTATTATAAATCACGAGGAGGGAGAATATTGTCTTCGGGCTAATGAAAACAGCAGGAAGGATATAAATATTTAATATATATATATATATATTATATATATATAATATTATATATATATAATATATATATATATAACAAGAAGAGTGATTGGTGGAATGATGAAGTAAAGGGTGTGATAAAAGAGAAAAAGTTAGCTTATGAGAGGTTTTTTACAAAGTAGAAGTGTTATAAGAAAAGCAGAGTATATGGAGAGTAAAAGAAAGGTGAAGAGAGTGGTGAGAGAGTGCAAAAGGAGAGCAGATGATAGAGTGGGAGAGGCACTGTCAAGAAATTTTAATGAAAATAAGAAAAAATTTTGGAGTGAGTTAAACAAGTTAAGAAAGCCTAGGGAAAGTATGGATTTGTCAGTTAAAAACAGAGTAGGGGAGTTAGTAGATGGGGAGATGGAGGTATTAGGTAGATGGCGAGAATATTTTGAGGAACTTTTAAATGTTAAGGAAGAAACAGAGGCAGTAATTTCATGCACTGGTCAGGGAGGTATACCATTTTTTAGGAGTGAAGAAGAGCAGAATGTAAGTGTGGGGGAGGTACGCGAGGCATTACGTAGAATGAAAGGGGGTAAAGCAGCTGGAACTGATGAGATCATGACAGAAATGTTAAAAGCAGGGGGATATAGTGTTGGAGTGGTTGGTACTTTTGTTTAATAAATGTATGAAAGAGGGGAAGGTACCTAGGGATTGGCGGAGAGCATGCATAGTCCCTTTATATAAAGGGAAAGGGGACAAAAGAGATTGTAAAAATTATAGAGGAATAAGTTTATTGAGTATACCAGGAAAAGTGTACGGTAGGGTTATAATTGAAAGAATTAGAGGTAAGACAGAATGTAGGATTGCGGATGAGCAAGGAGGTTTCAGAGTGGGTAGGGGATGTGTAGATCAAGTGTTTACATTGAAGCATATATGTGAACAGTATTTAGATAAAGGTAGGGAAGTTTGTATTGCATTTATGGATTTAGAAAAGGCATATGATAGAGTGGATAGGGGAGCAATGTGGCAGATGTTGCAAGTATATGGAATAGGTGGTAAGTTACTAAATGCTGTAAAGAGTTTTTATGAGGATAGTGAGGCTCAGGTTAGGGTGTGTAGAAGAGAGGGAGAATACCTCCCGGTAAAAGTAGGTCTTAGACAGGGATGTGTAATGTCACCATGGTTGTTTAATATATTTATAGATGGGGTTGCAAAAGAAGTAAATGCTAGGTGTTCGGGAGAGGGGTGGGATTAAATTATGGGGAATCAAATTCAAAAGGGGAATTAACACAGTTACTTTTTGCTGATGATACTGTGCTTATGGGAGATTCTAAAGAAAAATTGCAAAGGTTAGTGGATGAGTTTGGGAATGGGTGTAAAGGTAGAAAGTTGAAAGTGAACATAGAAAAGCGTAAGGTGATGAGGGTATCAAATGATTTAGATAAAGAAAAATTGGATATCAAATTGGGGAGGAGGAGTATGGAAGAAGTGAATGTTTTCAGATACTTGGGAGTTGACGTGTCGGCAGATGGATTTATGAAGGATGAGGTTAATCATAGAATTGATGAGGGAAAAAAGGTGAGTGGTGCATTGAGGTATATGTGGAGTCAAAAAACGTTATCTATGGAGGCAAAGAAGGGAATGTATGAAAGTATAGTAGTACCAACACTCTTATATGGGTGTGAAGCTTGGGTGGTAAATGCAGCAGCGAGGAGACGGTTGGAGGCAGTGGAGATGTCCTGTTTAAGGGCAATGTGTGGTGTAAATATTATGCAGAAAATTCGGAGTGTGGAAATTAGGAAAAGGTGTGGAGTTAATAAAAGTATTAGTCAGAGGGCAGAAGAGGGGTTGTTGAGGTGGTTTGGTCATTTAGAGAGAATGGATCAAAGTAGAATGACATGGAAAGCATATAAATCTATAGGGGAAGGAAGGCGAGGTAGGGGTCGTCCTCGAAAGGGTTGGAGAGAGAGGGTAAAGGAGGTTTTGTGGGCAAGGGGCTTGTACTTCCAGCAAGCGTGTGTGAGCGTGTTAGATAGGAGTGAATGGAGACGAATGGTACTTGGGACCTGACGATCTGTTGGAGTGTGAGCAGGGTAATATTTAGTGAAGGGATTCAGGGAAACCGGTTATTTTCATATAGTCGGACTTGAGTCCTGGAAATGGGAAGTACAATGCCTGCACTTTAAAGGAGGGGTTTGGGATATTGGCAGTTTGGAGGGATATGTTGTGTATCTTTATACGTATATGCTTCTAAACTGTTGTATTCTGAGCACCTCTGCAAAAACAGTTATTATGTGTGAGTGTGGTGAAAGTGTTGAATGATAATGAAAGCATTTTCTTTTTGGGGATTTTCTTTCTTTTTTGGGTCACCCTGCCTCGGTGGGAGACGGCCGACTTGTTGAAAAAAAAAAAAATATATATATATATATATATATATATATATATATATATATATAATATATATATATATATATATATATATATATATATATATATACACAACATAGAGTGTGTGTGTATGGAATTACAAAGGTATAAAACATGTAAAAATTTCCAAGTCTAAAGTTAATTTATTTTTTAACCTATACAGTTTTTATACCTTTATAATTCCATATACGTATTTTCTTTTTGAAGACGTGAACACAAGACTAGGAAGTCTGGAAATACTGTAAGATGCGCATGCGCAAGATCACCCTATAAGCGAGGCTTCTTGGATGTGTTTGTCATTTGCCTTTCGGAAGTTCTGACAGAGCTGAAAATCCCAGAAGCTCTATATACCTACCATCTTAAGTCTAACCTAGATACTTATAGGAGCTCCTGTGAGTTTCTATGTTTTTAATCCTTTACAGATTTAAGGGGAATCCATAAGAATTCCATAAACTTCCCTGTAAAAAACTTCACAAGAAAATACGTCTAGGACACAGTTCAGTAAGACTCGCCCTCTCAAAAAGTACTTCTTACCATTATAGTTGACATGGGAGTATACATACACAGATACAAAGAAACAAACACACATACACATTATCTTTGAGTTAATGTTAATCTCATTATGTCCCAATGGATTCTTGAGTAGTGGTGAATAAGTAACATGCTGGTTTAATAACCCTCGTGTGGATAGGCCTTAAGCACCATTAACCAACCAGTCAAGGGATCGAATTTCTTTCTTGGCTGGGCTCTGACTTTAAGGCTTCTCTTGATGCCACTGGTTGTATGTCTTCCTTGAAGTCCCCTGGAAATTACTGTTAAGACTGTGTAGATCGTATTGATCTGTTACCACCTTGATGTACTGTAAATAGAGCAATGAGGAAGAGAGCTTCTACAATAGAGTATCTGTGGAGAGAGAGAGATGCATCAGTGAACGAAAAATCACTAGAACGAATTGTGCTCTTAGTTAAGAAACGGATGACCTGTTTAGATGTTCATTTCTTTTCTGAGATGGAAAGGTTCCAACTAGATTGTTTCTAGGCCTTCGTTGGGAATAGTCTGTCTCGATTATTATATTCACAAATTCTGTACCCCAGTTGGTCAGTTAGTGTTATTAGGAGAGTATGTTGACGACAGAGATCAGAAGTGTGGAAAGTGAGCATAAGGACGAAAGGAAGAAATAATCAGGTTCTGGAGTTGTAAGAGCATCCCACAATTTGGAGATACAAGTGAATCAGAGATCTTACATCGCAGATGAATGTCCTACAAATGTATTAGTTTACGATGAGGCTGGACTACCTTTTTCCTTTATTCTTCATTTTTTATTTGTTACCTCTGGCTCACCTTTCCAGTGGGTCCTGCTCCTCCTCCTCTTGAGCTTCTTCCATCTTTGTGTTATTCTCTATTTCTTCAATATTCGTTTGATTTTTCCTAGTGTTTTTTCCTCTTTTCCTCCTGAAAAAATGCTCCTTGAGTGCTTCCTTATACATTTTCAATACAACTACGTATTAAAAAGTGATACTTGTGACACGACTCACCTCTGTCTTTGTAATAAAGAGCTATGTATTTAAGTTATCTACAAGAACAAAATACATTAAAATCAGCAACGAATGATATTACATTACGTACTGGGCAAGATTCATGTGATCAACGCGGCCGTCACAAGCTGCTTTCGTCTCCTCGGCTTCACATCGCACCTTCATCGACTTATAAAAAAAACAGATAATACTATTTTTATAATATTACTAATGATTATAATAAGGCATGTGAATTTCTAAATAATTTTTGCATGACTTGATAAAAATTAACTTCTTTCTATTTTATTTATAAATGTTATATAGTTCTAAAAATTTGCAATAAAAATAAAACGGATAAAATTTAATTCAAAACAACAACAGGTTATAATACGCCGAGAAGTGTGCATATCTCCAAGAACATTAGTCTCCACCTGAAGCGTAGCAACCACAATTTTTAAAGGGGTGGAACGGAAAGCCAGTGGAAGGCCTTGGTAAGATGACTAAATGTTGCAATGACGGATCATCAATGTAGCTTCAGGAATTATGAATGATGAAATGAAAAAAAATAGTGAATTCAACAGTAGGAGTACCTGGTCTGAAGGTGTGTTGTTGTAGAACTCATAGAGGTGCAGAGGAAGTTGTGGATGATTGTGCTTCCGTAAGAGATAATTCACATAGCGGACTGCACGATCTATCTGCAATTACACCAACACATAGAAAACTTACCTAACCTCCATTAACGAAATTTGTTTTAGCTAAATTCTGCTATATATATCAAATATTAATTTAAATTTAATTTAAAAATTAATGATGCACATTTTTTCCTAATACATACTCTGATCGATTTCCGCTGACTTATAGCAAAAACATATTTTCATTTGGCAACGTGCACCCTTACCCAATAGGAAGAACCTTGAGTTTTCCCTGAGGTACGTTTATTGTCTTCTCTGAGGATGAGGGTCCCCAGTAAAGTTCTAGAGGTGGCACCTCCCCTATATATATATATATATATATATATATATATATATATATATATATATATATATATATATATATATATATATATAATAATATATCTCTATTTCTACAAGTGCAAATCATACAGGCCTAGCTGATATCAATGACATACTACTATATAGAAAGTCGCTAGTTATGCAGAACATTTCGGGCAAATTAGGTCAGTTTTGTCCCAGGATGCAACTCACACCAGTCGACTAACACCCAGGTACCCATTTTACTGATGGGGGACACAGACAACCGGTGTAAGGAAACACGCCAAACGTTTCTACCCTGGCCGGGAATCGAACCCGGACACTCGCCGTACAAAGCGAGAGCTTTAACCACCAGGCCACGGGGCACCGTAGTTAAAGTTAGTGGAAATGATGGTTCATTACTAAGAATCATAAGTGGGAAAATAGCCCTACTTGTTAATAACACAGCTAAAAGTGTCACCTGTTGCCAATACTTCCTTGAACTATATTACACAATATTCATAATGTACTATACTGTATACCATGAATGTATTATATAATGAATGTTAAAATGGCTTCAGAATTTGTTATACATATTACTGAACAATATAAAGATATCTTAAGCAAAGAAAATAATAATTATGCTTTGAAGATTGTAATACGAAAACACTATTTGTACAAAAAAAAAAACAAAAAAATTGGGTAACACAAGAGACAAGGTCAGAGGCGCCACATTTAATTTCTGGTGGATATTTCATTAATTTTTCGTACTACAAAACAAAACATTTGTAATACAAATGCATGGAAAATATAACAATTACGGTATAAAGACTTCAGAAGGTAAAGAATGATTACAAGTGTGAAAATCATTATTAAATATGTCATAGCATCATAATATGGTAAGAGAAGGAATATATTTCGGTTGTTTCAGAGATCATTCCTGGTGAGATCCAGTCTCCAACCACGAAGCTTAAATTATAACTAAAATAGTACAAGAATAAAAATTAATTAAGGTATATACTGAATGTAAGAAAAATCTGTAAAATTTGCCTGGAATCTTACATGTTCATAGGACGAAATGAAAAGTTCAGCAAACCTGTTACAGTGCATAATATTTAATAGGCTTCCGTTTTACACTCATATGACACTAGAATATTTTCCTCTGTGGATATTGACAAAGGCTTACCTTATCACGCTCCCTGGGATGAAATATCTCAAGATTATCTGGGATAAACACTTGTTTCCTCTTGAATCTCCAGTCATCGTGCTCCTGTAGAATTAGATCAACTTATTATCACTGGATTCATTCACTTACTGTTTATTCAATGCTTATGCAAACTACAACAAATGTAGCAAATTCCATTGTTTTATCATTACAAACTTATATCTAATATATTTATTCTGTGGGCTCCATCATCCCCTCAAGGAAGGTTCCTTGATGTTGGTGAGGGGCTCTTGATTTAGGGAATTGGATCTGTGCTCCAGTTCCCCGAATTAAGCCTGAATGCCTTCCACATCCCCCCCCCCCCAGGCGCTGTATAATCCTCCGGGTTTAGCGCTTCCCCCTTGGTTATAATAATAATGTGGGCTCCATCGAACTAATTCTTTGTTTTCATAAATATAGTACAAGCGATCTATCCACAGCCCGGCAAAAATAGTTATTTCTTGTGCATTTTTTTAAGGGGGGGGGATTATTAGCAACAAAATTAGTTTTTATGGGAGGCTGAATGTATTTAGTAAAATATATGGAAGAGGGGAGTCAGCCAATCAGAGGTTAGTTTTCAGTCACGTGACTCGGGCTAGTGATGTAAACATTTCCAACAATACGAACACTGCAGCAACGTCTACTGAGTGTATAATATGTGAATTAACCTTTTACGCCATGATTACCAACTTTAGTGGACAAGACGAACGTGAAGGGGAAAAAAAAGACACAATGGCAGAGAAAATTTTTACTGGGACGTTACGCTTCCACCACGTCTTGAACTGACCCACATGGGTTTAGCGCTTAAAATAAATTAAGCTTAGAATATTTATCAAAATATCTGACAAAATTAAAAATAACGTCTACGATACATCACCTGGAGGCAAGTAAATCTCAGATCATCACGAGGTAAGCCAAAGAAGTCTAGTACACTTGAGAGATGTGGTACAGGATCCTCCTTCAGGTTCTCGTAGTGCAGCACCTGCAGCCTCTTAGCTTGTGTCGTCCAGTTGATGGCCGTCTCCAGCCATGACCTGATTTGCAGGTGAACAAAGGCACTCCAATCTGCAAGAAAATGGCAACTATATGAAAATAATTGTCATGACTCAAGAGCATTATACTTTGCGCACTTAATATAATGTGTACTGAAATATAGTTCTATATCCTTTATCCTTAATGCTCAAAAACTGGTGTGGCATTTTGATCACTTTAAGTGTTCATTGTCTAAATCTAAATTTATATTCCATATGAACTGTGGTATTTGCCTGTCTAAAATTGTTTTTCCTCCTTTCATGTGTTCTCTATAGTTATTGTCAATTACCTCGATAAAATATTTCCTCACCTTTTCTTCGATAATTAGACATGGGAGCGTACCCAGTATGTCCGCCGAAGAGGAAGTTATGATAAGCCAGGATGGCCCTGTAAGGGTTCCTCAACAGTAGGATACCCGTACTATTGAACTTCTTGATGTGCGAGGGACTACAGTCATGAGTCTTTTGGGTGAATGTAGTTCCACTGTTCCAGGGGTCCTTCTCCCCCAAGAAACCTGCCAGTAGGTTTGTGCAGATAGTAAATGTCATGACACTTGTAATTAGCGTCATTAAAAACAACAAAAAACAAACATGTTGTCTGAGAGGATTATGTAACTTACCATTTACTAATTATTTTAACAACTATAAGAATTATTCATAAAATATCCGAAGCAAACAAGTCTTATTATACTTCCCAGTGTTAAAAAGTAAAATAAATGAAGACAATGTGAGATTGCTGCAGTTGCCATCGAAAGTTTTAGAATGTATTTATGAACAAAATATTTTAGATGTAGTTGATTTTAAATTGCTTATTAAAAACCAATATTGGGGAAAATAATACATAATAATAATAATAATAATAAATAATAATAATAATAATAATAATAATAATAATAATATTCTGAGTAACCTTATTGAACGAAATACTGACCGTTTACATAAAGTTGTTGGTCATTGTAGATAGAGCCAGTGAAGATGCCAGAGGCTATCTGCAACAGGTTTCTTGTCCACGTGTTGCCCGAGCCGGGGTATGAGGCCAGGGCAGTTGGGGGCAGTGAGCCCCTCTTAGTAAACAAGACCTGAATCTGCCCACACTTACCCTGCTCTCCTCCCCACACCTGCAATCGACGCCGGTATGCGTCCAACATTTTCGATCTGTAGAGATTACTGGATTAAAAATCAACACTTTCGGTGTTTTGTAGCGAAAGAAAATATTAGAGCACGAAGGAGGCAACTGGTGGCTACTAGGTCCACTCTCTCCCGGCTCCGAGAGTCTTAATCATTTTGTTTGTATACATGACCATGCACAAATGTGTAGCAGTCTTAATTAAGAGACAAGCGTGATATGCAAATATTAAGATTAATACACCATGGAGTGTGTGGCCAGGAAGGAGGGGACGCTCCTAGCTCACATGATTACCCCAACACAACGGTGCTGTGAAGTCATTTGCATGAATTACCGCAGTGTGCGTAGGGGACAGGTAGATTTAACACGCTTGCTCACACAGCTCCTGGCGGGGCCAGGAGCGCACAAAGGTGAGCGCGCGCGCACACACACACACACACACACACACACACACACACACACACACACACACACACACACACACACACACACACACACACACACACACACACACACACACACACACACACACACACACACACACACGCACACGCACGCACACGCACGCACACACACGCGCGCGCGCGCGCGCCCACAAATGTAGTCCCCATCTTTAAGAAAGGAGAAAGAAACGAAGTACTAAACTATAGACCAGTGTCACTGACGTGTTTAGTATGCAAAGTCATGGAGAAGAATATCAGGAGAGTGGTGGAGCACCTGGAACGGAACAAGGTTAAAAACGACAGCTAGCACGGATTCATGGAAGGCAAATCCTGTCACAAACCTACTGGAGTTTTATGACAAGGTAACTGAAGTAAGACATAAGAGGGAGGTGTGCGTTGATTGCATTTTCTTGGACTGCAACAAGGCCTTCGACACAGTTCCTCACAAGAGATTAGTACATTATTATTATAATCAAGGGGGAAGCGCTAAACCCGGAGGATTATACAGCGCCTGGGGGGGATTGGAAGGTATTCAGGCTTAATTCGGGGAACTGGAGCACAGATCCAATTCCCTAAATCAAGAGCCCCTCACCAACATCAAGGAACCTTCCTTGAGGGGAGAGATTAGTACAGAAGCTAGAGGATCAGGCATGTATAACAGTAAGGGCACTGCAATGGATCAGAGAATACCTAACAGGGAGGCAACAGCGAGTCATGGTACGTGATGAGGTATCACAGTGGGCGCCTGTGACCAGCGGGGTCCCACAGGGTTCAATCGTGGGACCAGTGCTATACTTGGTATATGTGAATGACATGATGGAAGGGATAGACTCAGAAGTGTCCCTGCTCATAGATGATGCGAAGTTAATGAGGATAATTAAATCAGATGCGGGCCAGACACGTCTACAAAGAGACCTGGACAAGCTGGAAGCGTGGTCCAGCAACTGGCTCCTAGAATTTAACCCCGCCAAATGCAAAGTCATGAAGATCGGGGAAGGGCAAAGAAGACCGCAGACAGAGTATAGGCTAGGTGGCCAAAGATTGCAAACCTTACTCAAGGAGAAAGATCTAGGGGTTAGTATAATACCGTGCACGTCGCCGGAAGCACACATTAACCAGATAACTTCTGCGGCATATGGGCGCCTGGCAAACCTGAGAATAACGTTCCGATACCTTAGCAAGGAATCGTTCAAGACTCTATATACTTGTACGTCAGGCCCATACTGGAGTACGCAGCACCAGTTTGGAACCCACACCTGGTCAAGCACATCAAGAAATTAGTGAAAATGCAAAGGTTTGCGACAAGGCTGGTTCCAGAGGTAAGGGGAACGTCCTACGACGAACGGTTAAGGGAAATCGGCCTGACGACAGTGGAGGACAGGAGGGTCAGGGGAGACATGATAACGACATACAAAATACTGCGTGGAATAAATAAGGTGGACAGAGACAGGATGTTCCAGAGATGGGACACAGAAACAAAGAGTCACAATTGGAAGTTGAAGACTCAGATGAGTTAAAGGGATGTTAGGACGTATTTTTTCAGCCACAGAGTTATTAGGAAGTGGAATAGTCTGGCAAATGATGTAGTGGTGGCAGGAACCATACTTAGTTTTAAGACGAGGTATGATACAGCTCATGGAGCAGGGAGAGGGAGGACCCAGTAGCGGTCAGTGAAGAGGCGGGGCCAGGAGCTGAGTCTTGACACCTGCAACCACAGTTAGGTGAGTACACACACACACACACACAGTACCAAACAAGAGACTGGTTGAAAAGCTAGAGGAGCAGGCAGGAATAGGAGAGAAAGTACTGCAATGGATCAGGGAATACCTGACAGAAAGGAAACAACGGGTGTTGGTATGAGATGAAGCGTCCGAGTGGGTGCATGTGTCGAGTGGGGTTCCACAAGGGTCAGTCCTAAGTCCGGTGCTCTTGCATATGTGAATGACATGATGGTGTCTCTGTTCGCAGACGATGTGAAACCAATGAGGAGAATACAAACAGACGAGGATCAGGTAAGCCTACAAGGGGATCTGGTTAGGCTTGCAAGCCTGGTCCAACGTATGGCTCCTCTAGTTTAATCCCAGCAAGTGCAAAGTTATGAAGCTTGGGGAAGGACAAAGGACACCGTAGACGGAGTACAGCCTAAGAGGTCAGAGGCTGCAAAGCTACTCAAGGAAAAAAAAATTGGGGTGAGCATCGTACCGAGCACATCTCCTGAGGCGCACATCAACCAAATAACTGCTGCAGCATACGGACGCGTGGCAAACCTGAGAATAGAGTTTTGACATCTAAGTAAGGAGTCATTTAAGACACTACACCGTGTATGTCAGGCCCATATTGGAATATGCATCACCGGTATGGAACCCACACCTGGTCAAAAAGGTCAAGAAATTAGAGAAAGTGCAAAGCTTTGCAACAAGACTAGTCCCGGAGCTGAGGGGGTTTGTCCTACGATGAGAGGTTAAAGGAACTCAACCTGACAACACTGAAGGACAAGAGAGATGGGGAGAACATGGTAAACAAAATACTGAGAAGAACTGATAAGGTGGATAAGGACAGAATGTTTCAGAGATGTGACACACAACAAGGGGTCACAACTTTGAGTTGAAAACTCAAATGAGTCAGAGGGAAGTTAGGAAGTGCTTCTTTAATAGAGTTGTCAGGAAGTGGAACAGTCAGGAGAGTGATGTAGTGGAGACAGGATCCATACATAGCTTTAAGAAGAGGTATGATAAAGCTCATGGAGCAGGGAGAGTGGACCTAGTAGCGACCAGTGAAGAGGCGGGGCCAGAACCTATGACTTGACCTCTGCAACCACAATTAGGTGAGTACACACACACACACACACTCACACAGGAGCTACGACTCGACCCCTGCAACGAAATAGGTGAATACACACACTCACATTACAAACACAACAAGGAATATTTTATTTAAAAATGGAAGATAAAGTCATGGTACCGAAGGAAATATCAGAATGAGCAAAGGTGATAAGCTTCCCAAAGTATGAAATTATTTCTAAGAGAACTATATAACCTGCCAGAGATGGCCGATTCATATGTATCATTGTCTGCAAACAATATAGAGAGAATTAGAATACAAACGTGAAAGAACATGTATAGGCTACAGGAAGACTTTTACAGATTACATGCAAGAGAGATCAAAATATTCCAGCGAGATAAGAGCACATAGGAGTGTATTATCACATGAACTGTACAATATCTAAAGCACATGCGAGGCTGCAAACTTAGAAGCCTACTTTATTGACCTAAACACTACACACAGCAATTTCAAAATATAGAAAATACAGCGTCAGGATTAAGTCTACAACTTATAAAGTATGAAAGTTTGCAACAAAAGTGTTTAGGAACTGAGGAGTGTGCACTAAGAGGAGAGGTTAATCCAACTTGATCTAACAACCTGAGAAGAGCGAGGAGCCAGGACATATGATTACGACGTGCAAAATACTCAAGAGAAACTGAAAGGGCAAAAAGTACACTGGCATGCAATGAACTGGGCAAGGCGACTAGACGGAATCTAAAGACAAAGCGTCAGAGAAACATTAGAAACAGTAGTCTGAAATGAGGTGGTGGAAGAAACAAATTCTATACAATTTCAAGAGTAAATGGGATATAAAAAAGATAATCTTTTGGTTACTAACCCGGGGCTTATTACCAGGTATTTCTCACGATAATCAATTAGTGTGGTTTATTTCTGCTGGGTTCCTTCCTCTTGTCTAGGATACCACTCCCAACAGGACTAACTGCTGGGTGATATAGACAGGTGTAAGACTTGCCCACGTCTCACCCCACCCGGGAATAGTTAATGTAATGTACTGTGTTGGAAACCGGAATACTGTTGTATAGCGTGGTTATACCAAGATGTCACTCATCCACTCACTGGGTTATTGTACAATCTGTTACCTGTGTACACTCTACGTGAGAAACCTGTTATAAAATATCTGAACTTTTTTAGACCCCACTCTGCTGCCAGACGTTTCTTGCCCGCAATACTGTGTATGTAGCCTATTTGCTCACCTATGTGGTTTGCAGGGGTCGATTCACAGCTCCTGGCCTCGCCTACTTGCTGGTCGCTACTAGGTCCACACTCTCCTGTGTGTACTCACCTAATTGTGGTTGCAGGGGTCGAGACTCAGCTCCTGGCCCCGCCTCTTCATTGAACGCTACTAGGTCCTCTCTCTCCCTGCTCCACGAGCTTTATCATACCTCATCTTAAAGCTATGTATGGTTCCTGCCTCCACTACCTCACTTGCTAGACTATTTCACTTCCTGACTACTCTATGACTGAAAATACTTCCTACCGTCCCTTTGGTTAATCTGAGTCTTCAACTTCCAACTGTGACCCTTTGTTTCTGTGTCCCCTCTCTGGAACATCCTGTTTCTGTCCATCTTGTTTATTTTACGCGGCATTCTGTATGTCGTTATCATGTCTCCCCTAACCCTCCTGTCCTCCAGTGTCGTCAGGCCGATTTCCCTTAACCGTTCTTCGTAGGACACTCCCCTTAGCTCTGGAACTAACTTTATCGCAAACCTTTGCACTTTCTCTAATTTCTTGACGTGCTTGAC